AACAATCAGGAATACACACAACTCAGGTACTGTTGTCTTGGAGTTTCAGCCTATGTGCTGACCATCAGAATACAATTGATTCTTATTATCCTGATAGAGTTTTAATATAACCATGTGCTATTCCTTGGTGCTTCAGATTCATGTAACAGCTGACAAGATCTAGGACTTTATATCAATTTGTAACCGCTGTAGTTTTAACGAATCGGTTAATCTAAATGCTAACAACTAAACAAGCTGTTAGTAACAAACATTGTGAAATATCTGCTTGAATACTCAGGCATAACTGTATCTTAAGGTATTTAATCAGAAAAAGTAAAAGTAATCTCACCACATATTAGAGAGAATAATGCGAATGATAGAGAGAAAGAGAGAGATATAGAGCAAGAACAGAAAGTTTGAAACAATACAAACAAAATAAACTTATAATGGACTTGAGTAACCCCCCATTACGCAAAAAGGTACTTCTGCCTCCAGAACACATTGTCTTTGGGATGCGGACATCTTACTGTAATGCGTTTATGCTGTCTGCTGTACAGGCATGGCTTCGTTTTTAGGTAATCGAATGTTATTCAATTTAATAATGTAAATTTCTTGATTGCATGATCTGAGTACATGTGCTTCCATCAAGTTTCCTTAGTGATAAAATATCAATCTTTATTAGGAAACCATTAAAGATCACCATTCACATTTTCCTTGCAAAGTCCACGAATTTTCTGTTCATTTTTAAGTATAATAATAATTTCGTTTTCTTATTAAATGGCATCATAAATTTATTTTTTTATTCATGTCACTCTTAACGTTTTCTATCACAGCAGAGCCGTACCAAAAGGCTTTAATGTCTATCTATAGTCTCATTCTATCGCCTAGTTTTGATTCTTTTTGTTGCAATAAAATGAGCACTCTTTAACACCGCAAAACCTCAGTAATTTTTAATTTCTTCTCACCCAGACTAACTGACATTCATCCATTATCAATTATTGGCTTTTTTTCTGGACAGTATAGATTTGTTGGCATTTCAAAATTAATGTATATTTGAGTACACTTTATTTGCTTATCCTTCACTGAGATTTTACATATGTACACATAAACAGTTTCATTAATCATTTTTGAAAAAGTGTTTTTATTGATTTAATCAATTGCTGTTCTTTGTCTATATTTGTACCCATCTAACTTGAAGACTTTATACTAGGATCGTGATGAAGAACTGTAGCAAATACATTATGTATCTTTATTATTATCAGTTTCGTCATAATTTGGTTAGAGATCAATTTTGACGTTATTAATTGTCAATTGTTGGATGTTGGTGGGGTGTGGGTGTTGGTGGGTGATGGTCTCGGTGGGGTGTGTTTGTTGGTGGGGTGTGGGTATTGTTTGGTAGTATAAATATCATTAACTTGGAAGTATTACCGCTTAATCTAATAAATGCTTATGATATGGCGGCGAATGTAAAATCGAATCATTAAATCTGGTTCCAAATTGCTGCAAGTATCATTGATTTCTAATAATTCCAACTGATTCATCATCTTGTTTTTTATACTGCATGCACCGTCAATCTAAGTTGTTTTTCGATTGCCAACCTACTTCTAACTCCATCGTCAATCCAAGAATGTTGTTGGAATTAGGATTCATAATTAATTACATCGTATTTATATTTTGTGCCATTTGTGATCTGTTATTTTGCCATCTCTGTAAGAGCATTGTTATCATCGGCAAAGTTCATGATTCATTAATCATTAGTGACATTTCAAACTCTGTACCTAATTCAGCATCTACATATGAAGTAATGAATATTGAATACATAAGCACGTTATTAATTACTCTTGGCAAATTTTGATACATACATTAAGAAATTATTTCATGATTGTCACATAGCACCAACATATTGTTTGTGCTGCCTAATAGTCACGTACACTCCAGCATATTTCAAAGAAACGTTGACATCATAATCACACTATTTTGAATGTTAGCCGTTAATGGTGAGGAAAAACATTTGTGGTGGTTTATACCTCTATTTATCTGATCTCCGGAATAAATGTCTCTTCAAAAAAAAAATGTTTTTGTAAATTTGTCACTATTACGGTTATTTTTCCGATCTATTCTAAAGATTGTCATATGAATTTAAAAATGTGTACAGAACTGATTGTTCTTTGAAAATGCTACTTTGTTTTCTTTCTTGTTTTAAACTATTAACTTTGAAATCCTTGCAAAATGAGACATATATTTCGTCATTAATTATTATCATTTTTAATTTCACATCTGGATCATACAGGTGGACTAGTTATAAATGACAAGTTGGCAATATTTATAATTCGTGCTTCATTCTTATCTGATGAACCTCCTAAATAGTATTTTAATTTTCATGATTTTTAAAATTCTCGTTCAATATTTATCTCAAATATGTGCAATATCAATTTGTTGAACTTGAATTTGTTCAATTAATACTGTTTTCATCTTTGTTGTTTACGCCATATGTTTGGCAATTTAAGGGATTTATCCCTCGCGGATTAGTTTTACAATTTACCATTCCCAACGTAAACAATTCTTGAATGTTCCTCTTTAAACTGGTGGTTTCTATTCCTTAAATGCCCTTTAGGGGTAATTACAAAACTCGATTAAATACGTTTGGCTGTTTTGATTGTGCAAAATATTTAGTCACGTAGTTGCGTTGTCTTTTGTCAGAACTTACTTTTCTTGATTACACTCTTCTACCTCTAACACGAATATTTTTGCAAACAACAATAAACAACATCAAGCATGTTATCGATTCTTATTTTTTTTATATTACATGTGAACCAGCTAAGGGCACTAAATTTATCCAATTGTCTATCTTGCAAAATTTTCTTCTTTTCCCGATAAAAATACATCTTGTGTTGAGAAACGTTTCAACAGTGGTTTCATACCTGTCTCTATCCATAGTGTCTGCTTATTAACATGAATCATGAAAGAAAACATTTGGTACGTTTTATCTTTCTGTAAATACAACAATAACCTTAAAATAATATTAACAAATCAGCACAACTTTCTTTATCAGTTGTTTCAAACAACGGTTTTAAGAAAAGTTTAATTATCGCATACAAAGAGACACACCTATACACACACACACACACACACACACACACACATATATATATATATATATATATATATATATATATATATATATATATATATATATATATATATATATATATATATATATCAAACAATTATATAACTTAATATTTGCTTTATCCACATCATCACTTTGCTTGTACTTATTCTTTATGCTTCTAAAACAATATATATATATATATATATATATATATATATATATATATATATATATATATATATATATATAGAGAGAGAGAGAGAGAGAGAGAGAGAGAGAGAGAGAGAGAGAGAGAGAGAGAGAGAGAGAATATGTTAGTGCAATATATATCAGTGAATCATAAAGTGTTCCTAAGTACTTTAGGAACATTGGACAACATTTAAGAGTGTTTTATCTACGGGGTTTGTTTACACTATTATTCAATAATTGTTTTTGATCATCATAATGTTAATTTAAATGAACTTAAGTTCTTGTGAGTGTCGTCTCTATGTTATTTGCAAGTAGCACTTAGTCATTTCTATGACAGCAAGTATTCCATTTATGAGATCCTTTTATACAAGATAATATGATACTTGTGTTCCTATTGTATTACCTTACCTACTTATCATGCATTTGTTATACTGTTTGTTTGTTTGTTTGTTAGTGGTTCCTTTTTTTTGTTTCAATCTGCTAAAGTAACCGATGGTCGGCAGAGCTAGAGCTACCGATGTATATACTACTAGCAAGAGTGGTACGTCATAATGGCATACTCGATACTTTAATATTGATTTCCATCACATATTTCACTTGTAGTATTGTGAGATTAAGTATGATGTGTAAACAGTGCTGTTATGTATGATGTGTAAACACAACTCGTATATCAGTTTTAGCTTTGCAGTAAGTTTATCGTTGCAAGTTGTCTTTAGTCTGACCTTCCTAATGCTTCTTATGATCAATAATTATTCAGTATTACTCGTCCATTACGTGCTAGAGTAGAATGCATTAGAGAGAGTAACTAAATTTAAATTGTTCGACGTATTCGATTATATACTTTTTGTGTGCTAGAAATGTCTACACAGAATAAACTTTGTGCAGCCTTTCATATTTTCTAGTTCTTCTTTGGATTCTCGTTTCATGCAACTTACCTATTTTTTTTCGGAAAAAATGTATGTCGACCAAATATTATGTTACGCTGTTTACGGCGGTTTCTCGGATAGCTATGACTTTCTCGCCAATTGTGGAATGCAAAACTCGGCTAAATCATGCAGTACAAATTACTAGCATATTAGGGAGAAAGGCGTTCAGTCTTGAAGAAATCATATATCATCTGTTTTGTTGAATAGAAAATGTTACAAAACCATTAACATAAAATCTAATCGAAGAGAAAAGAATATTTCCGCAAATAGTAGTCATATCACACACGGTGATACTGACATTTGTATATCGAGTCATTTATATTTCATAAAATGGTATATTGTTTGAGAGGTAGATTGTGGAGAATCTTGAAATTGACAGAAATAATGCTACATTTGTCTTGACATATTTGCATTTATATTAATATACGAACTTTAATTAACTCATGCAACCTTAAAATAATCAATAGTATGTTGTTTCCTCAAAGTGTTCCCTTTTTTAGAGAATATATTTGCTTTTTGCCCAATCATATGCACTCTTATGAAGATCTATACAACAAAGGTGTAATTTGTTACAAGAAAAAGAAAATACTGTAATAAGTCAAAGATATCTGTTTATCAAACCTGGCGTGAATACTGCTAGAAGTCACTTTTTTTTATTTCCAAGGACTGCTCGACATCAAACTTCAACTGGAAATTCTAATAATTCGTTCAGACTATAAATAATTTTTCAATTAGTAAATGACCATACATTCCACAACCACACATTTGCATCACAAACTCACTATTGCATAACCGCTTAGATGGCCTAGTGGTTAGAACGCCAGCCTCGGATGGGGGAGGTCGTGGGTTCGATCCCCGGTCGAGTCATACCAAAGACATACAAAAATGGTACTAACAGCTGCCTCGCTTGACGCTCAGCATTAAGTGGATAGTGTTAGGACTTGTCGGCCTGGTGTCAGGATAATGTGATTGGGTGGGACATAATGCTACCGGTCTGCAACATGATGCCCCAGTGCTAGACATCACTATAAATTGTCACACTGCAGGCATCGTAGCAATATGACTGAAAAATTGTTGAAGCTACTTTAAAAATCACAATCACATCACTATTGAATGTGGATGTCACACCTGCATGGTTTATTCGGTTTAGCTTTCCTTAAGGTAGCGCCAGTTCTTCACGCCGTGGAATAAAACAATAACGTAAACACCAAATAAAGGGAACTAGTTTCCTACTCTATCCTTAGGTAAATCAAAACGTGATTATAAGCCTCATTTCACCTGTATCATTCCACTATAGTTTCCATCATTTCAGCAATAAAAGGCTTCTAAAATTAATATAATTATCCCATCTCAGTTATTCTTGTATACAATATATCAGTCTCTATTACAAATAGACCAGCTGAAGATGCACAATCAATCAACAGAATTATATTTTAATAATAACTACTTGGATAAAGGCCCAAGAATACGGCTCTGTCCTGAACTCACTACGAAACTAAACTTTGCAATTATAAAATTTGATTAACACTGCGCTCTGTTACGTTTGCCTATTTGGCTAATTACTCGGGCTTAAGAATATTTCTGAAATGCTAACTTCCTATATTCAAGCAAGTAATAATAAAACTCTAATAGTTCCTTTAAAAAGGAGATTTAAATACACTAGATTAATTACAATACTTTATTTACAAGTGTGCCATTTCGCTAAAATATTACCAGGGGGAGTGAATTACTTATATCAACAATATCAACAAATGCCATATACAAAAGCTACACAATGCATTTCGTCTGAGGAAGAACATCAAAACTCCTTTACATTTAACCAAGAAAAGTCTACCGTTCAAATTGCACGATCACAAAGATTTCACTTCGTCGTCTGTTTGTGTGTTGATGGGAGCTATTATAGGTAAAAGATTGGTTCTCCATTAAAATGTATGCCAAATTAAAAAAAACTTCATTGTTACGACAACCATGTACAAGATGGGGGCCAGAAGTAAAAATGAAGAATATTAAGTAGATGAACCAAACTTAATAAAACTAAAAATTTAAATTTACCCTAATTTTAATTTAAATTTAGAACTTTCTACACTTTGAGATCAAATGAGGATTTAATACGCAAATGGTTTCAAGATAATAGATAAGACATTTAATGTAAGGATGGTATTGACTAGGTGCGCTAATAAAAATTGTCAGATGTTTGTAGAAAAGCCTTGATTAACTAGAACGTCTACAAAGTAAATTCAGTTAAATGATGTGAAAGACTTTTCTGGCAAAATCACTTGGAAAACCAACACGTATTCATTTACCTACCAGGTATCTCACGAAATTTTCATTCTGTAAAAAAACAATTGTTTGTATTGATACTGTCAATGGAAGGATATATATCTTTTCTAATTGTGACATATCAGGTTTTTGTTGCTATTTCAAAGACAATCAAATTTGGTCGTGTTGTTTCAGATAGCAATTAACTGTCTACTTATATTCAGTACAGTACAGTGCAACTGCCTCATAAGTCGATTAGCGTGTTTCGCTTACAACTGATGATAAATCAGGCAATAATGCAGTTATAATTGCATTATTTATAAAATAAAACGTCAGAGTTGATTATCGGAAAAAAAATACCAAAATATCTTTTCTAATTGTGACATATCAGGTTTTTGTTGCTATTTCAAAGACAATCAAATTTGGTCGTGTTGTTTCAGATGGCAATTAACTGTCTACTTATATTCAGTACAGTACAGTGCAACTGCCTCATAAGTCGATTAGCGTGTTTCGCTTACAACTGATGATAAATCAGGCAATAATGCAGTTATAATTGCATTATTTATAAAATAAAACGTCAGAGTTGATTATCGGAAAAAATACCAAAATACTATTTGAATTCATATCCAGGGTAACAAGCGTTGTTTTGTATTTCGTTTCCTACTTTTATTTTTTTTACAAATATCGCAGCAGCAGCACGTCTCGGTCAGTATGGTACTCATTCGTAATTGTTATGTGAAATTTGTAAACTCAAAATTGTATTATTAAGTACCTACATATATGAAAGAAGTCATCTGATCTATAGTAACTGAAAATTAATTGAAGTACGAATGCATAAGCACTAGTCTATATATTGCTTATGCACACCCATTAATTAGCATGTATATGTGTGCATGTATGTATGTGTGTGTGATTTTGATTTTGAACGTAGTTTTTGAAAAAATTTAGTCATATTGCCACGATAGCATGTCGTTACACAATTAAACGAAATGGCTTCTGAAAAAATGTATGCTGATGTCATAAAATTCGAAGCATAAGTTTTCGTTACAAATGCAAAATAATAATAATAATAATAATAATAATAATAATAATAATAATAATAATAATAATAATAATAATAATAATAATAATAATAATAATAATAATAATGTGTTTATTTGTAATATAGGTCACTGGCCCATTGATACATATCCATAAGGCGACTAAGTAGAGGCAACCTGTTTGCCGTGGGTTGCGACCCGTAACGGAGGAGGAAAGGATCCTGGTAGTTGCAACACACTACTTTGGCCTCTACTTCTCTTAAGACGGGTGGTTGAGATGGGCCCGGTCTCGACAAATCGGCTGGTCACGCCGAGCCCTAGGAAGTCTTAATTATCTCTCTCACCTCCTTTTACTTTATTCTTGTATCTCGCTTGATACCACCGTTGCCCCTATATTCTATTCCTATATCTTTCCCTTTCTTAAATCTTAGAAGACTTCCTAGAAGGCGGTGGCTTAACGGGTCAATCGGGGGGTAAATTTACTGACCTTCGAAATTGGCAACTTCAGGGTCAACTAAAGGTAATTTTGCCAACTGAGTATGGTGTTTGTGTATCCCTGGCACTTTAAAAGTGTCCCCTTGTTGGGCTCCTTGGCGGGTGGGGAGCACGGGTGCTGAACCTTTCAAACTGCCATCATGGAGAATTTAAAAAAAACTCCCAAACGTACCAAAACTGTGTCATCAGAGTCGGATGATGAACCATGTAGTGTGGAATCCTTTCCTCGCTTCATGGTCATCCATTCAAAAGACGAAACTAAACAACTTGCCACATTGTCACCATTTATAGTCGAAAAGACTATACTTGGATTAGTCGGCAAGCCAAAAAGTGTGAAAAAGCTAAGATCAGGTGACCTACTTGTAGAGTGTGAGCGCAAAGCTCAAACTGAAAATATACTGAAAATTAAATCGTTTCACGATATTCCAGTAACCTGCTCCGCCCACTCTACACTTAATACATCAAAAGGCATCATTCGTTGCCGTGACCTTGCTGGAGTCTGCGACAAGGACATCGTCGAGGGCATGAAAACTGAAGGTGTCACTGCAGTCCGTAGAATTCGTATCAAACGAAACAACAATCTGCAGGACACCAACACTATTATACTCACCTTTAATAAGCCCATATTACCTAAAGTGGTCAAGGTTGGCTTCTTACAAGTTAAGGTTGAGGTATATATACCAAATCCCCTCCGATGTTACAAATGCCAAAAATACGGCCATCATGAAGACAGATGCTCTCGAAGCCAAATCTGTGGCCGGTGTGGCGACTCCTCCCACCGGGAATCAGAGTGCAAGGCCACTCCGCACTGCGTAAACTGCGGCAAAGAACATCATGCTAATTCCAAGGAATGCGACACTTGGAGACAGGAGAAGGAAATCCAGAGGATTAAATATACTAATAATATTCCCTATCCAGAGGCCAGGAAGCTTGTTCAAGCTAGATCATTCCCCGGCCCATCCTTGTCAACTGTAGTAAAGAGCAGCCAGAAAGCAACGAAAGATGCACAAACTCAAACAAACCCGCCTGAACCCCATGCTGACTCAAACATCCCACACTATAGACCGCAGAAAAACTCTACATCGACGCAAACAACATTCAACATTACCTCGCCAGCAAAATCACCAAATAGCAAGAAAAGGCTTCAAACAAATAGGCATAAAAAAGGGTCTGATGACCCTATAAAAATACACAACAGGTTTGAAGACCTAGAGGACATGGATGCGGAGGAATTTGCTTCATGTCCTCAGGGTAACTCCAGATCCAATAACAAAAGATACACCCCCGTACTTCCTCCAGATAAATAACCAAATTATTTGCCACTCGAAAGGTCTAATATACAGCTGAAATGAAGAACACCATTTTACAATGGAATTGTAGAGGACTTAAAGCCAACTACCATGATATTCTTCTGCTTTTAGATGAACATGATCCTGCAGTACTATGTCTTCAGGAAACATTTTTGAAAAATACAGACAACATCACACTTAAAAAGTACTCCCTGTTTAACCACTACTCTCAGAATGTTGACAGGGCCTCAGGGGGAGTCTCTGTTATTGTGAACAATAGAGCCCCTCATAAGGTAATTCCTCTAAACACAAATTTACAAGCCATTGCTGTAAGCGTCACTCTCCAGCGAGTGATTACATTTTGTTCTATTTACTTACCACCAAACACTAACCTAGTCCCAAACGAATTAGATACCCTTGTGCAACAACTTCCTGCACCATTTGTTTTACTCGGAGATTTTAATGCCCATAATATTCTATGGGGATCAAATCATATAAGTGATAGAGGTCACAAAATTGAAGACTTTATTTCTAGACACGATCTGTGTCTCTATAATACCAAAATACCTACATACCTACACCCAGGCACGGGTACATACACATGCATCGATTTGACAATTTGTTCTCCCTCGCTGCTTTTGGACTATGAATGGAAGGTCGCTGATGATCTCCACAGTAGCGATCACTTCCCAATCTCACTTGTAAATCTTAACTCTACAATTGATGAAGTAATTCCACAATGGAATTTAAAGAAGGCCGACTGGGTCAAGTTCGAAATACTCTG